TTGATTAAGGTCTTACAGTAAGCATGAGTACAAGACTGGGTAAATAATTTTAAAAAGAGAGAGAGAGGAAATGTGTATGCATGTGTGTGATAAACAGAGAGAGAGAGAAAGAGCTGGCTCAAAAATTATTTGATATTAAAAATAGTAATACTCAAAAATTAAATGATAGATAAAATGAATTGATTTGTGCTTTGAGGCATATGACTGTTATATCAACACTCAGGAGGATGAGGGAGGAGAACCAGAAGTCCAAGTTTATCCTTTACTACATAAAACAACTCAAGGCTAGTTTTGAGTACATGAGAGACCCTATTTCAAAACACATGAAAAGAATGGGTGAGAGAGAGGGAGGGACATATTTCAAACAAGTAAAGGGTGTTGTTTTGAACTTATTTTGGCGATTGCTAGGCAAAGCAGAAGTAAATGAGAAGAAATAGGTCTGGGACAAAGGGACTAATGTTTTATTTTAGGCAGGTGTCTTAGTTAGGACCTCCATTGTTGTGTAGAAACACTATGACCATGGCAACTCTTAAAAAGGAATTTATAATTTGTGTGGCTCACAGTTAGAAGGTTCAGTCCATTATCATCATGGTGAAACATGTTAATATAAAGGCACACATGGTGCTAGAGAAGAAACTGAGAGTTCTCTATCTTGATATGCAGGCAATAGGAAGTAAACTGTCTCACTGGGTGTAGCTTGAGCATAGGAGACCTCAAAGCTTGCCACCACGGTGACACTTTCTTCAACAAGGCCACACCTACTCCAACAATGACATTCTCTTTAGAAACCATTTTCTTTCAAACCACCACAGCAGATGAACCTGAAAAAGCTGTCAAAAAATGATTAAAAATTAAAGATGGTCAAGTGGAGATATCTATGAGGAATCTAAAGTGTCAGTTCTTGAAATGAATGGAGAAGTAAAGACTGAAGAGACTTCTGGAGATGTCAGGGTTTCTATCCTTTCTTCTCCCACCCATTAAACATCTTCCTGGTTGTGATCTATGTTCTTTATGACTAATAAAGAGCAGGAATAATTTCTGTTCTCTTCTCGCCTTTACCCAATTCTAAATAAGAATGTTAAGATTGGAAGTGAAAGGATTCTAGTCAGTCTGAGCATGACAAACATGATTCTGACAGGTCTTTCTCTTCTCCCTCCTTCTCTCTGCTTGGCTAAAAATTATTAGGTTGCATTTCTAAAGCTGGCCACCAAGGTCCATTCCTTGTATGGCCACTTCCTTCTCCTGAGTCTGAGTACCAAGGTCCAGTTATCAAAGCATTGAAGTCCAGCAATCAAAAGCCTCCTTTGGCTCACCAAATTAACATGCACAATTAAAATTAAACATTTCATCCTAACACAGGGCCCTTCCCTTTTAATTTTTATAAACTGCCATTTGCCTATCCAGAGGTCTACTCTTTTGTCCCAGCTCGCCCCTCCCTTGTTCCTTTCCCCTTCTCCCTTGTCCTCTATCTATTTTCTAGTCTTTTACTTCCTGATCCTTGTCTCTTTGAGGTAAATACATCTCCTTTATGCTAAGAACTTGGTTTTAGGGTGTCCTGAGCCAATACTAGTCCCTGTAGGAAGGAGATAAAAATTCCCGCCTTGAGGCAATACACATGATTGTTTTGCTACTCATTTAAGATCAAGGAATCTGCTCCTGTTATTTTACAGGGGGTGAAATCCAAAAACTTTGTGTATATCATCTTTATAGTTTAGTAAAAATTAGCATTATTGACCAGTCTGATATTTTTTCTAATCTTAAAAAAGATACATAAGATCTATAACAGAATAAAGCCAAAGTAATTGATGTCAAGTCATGCAAACACTGATTACTTGCTATCTTCTAAATGTATTTTACAAAATTTATTATTAAAATGTATTCCTTTTTTGTGCATACAACAATGACTGTGGCAGAGTGGAATTATGCAAGAGAAATAGAAACTAAATTAGAATTTAAATATAAATATAAATAACGTTTGCTCATAAATTATCCACAAGGATAAGGTAGGTTGGATGATGAATGCAGTTAAGTCTATATGAGTCTAATATTATATCATTCACCCCTTTAAAGAAACATTTAACTGTAAGCATCCAATTTCATCGATTGTGTGTTGCATGAGTCACAGGGTTCTAAGGGTGTTCTGAAAGTGTCCTGTGCATGCTTTTGACATGACAAGTCTTTGGGCCTTTATTGGTTTTCTCATGTAGCATCTATTGTGTGATGTGTGAGTCACAGTAGGTTCTAAGGCTGCTCTGAAAGTGTCTGTGCATGCTTCTGACATGACAAGTCTTTGGGCCTTTATTGGTTTGCTCCTGTAGCTGAATCATAGAATACTGGATCTTTGTTTCAACAGCTTCTCAGCCAAGGAATCTGTGTTTGGGTTTTCACTTGGTAACAAGATAAATACTCTGCCACAGGTGCTACACTCCCTGACAAAGCTTGTTTCTTAGGAAAATATTCTCACACTCAGGCTGGCCTTGGGCTTATCTTAAAATCTGTGAGGTTTTCTGCTGTTGTTCTAGATTTAGACAACTTCCTTTCCCTGGTCAGGCCACTGTCACTCTTCCTCAAAGCCAACTCAGTCCCTTGCTTATCTTCTTCACACACCCCGAAACTCCTTTCCTGCCTGCTTTCTTCTCACCAACCCACTACACAGGAACTTAGAGGTCTGACACATTTCTTCCTGAGCCATTAATGTGCATGGTTTATTGTTAATAGTAAGTATACTGAAAGTGATCAGTAAAAGAAGATTATGTAGAATTTTGCATAGTTTTTTCTAAATGACAATTTCTAAATGGTAGTTCTGCTTACCTTTATAGACCTGGATGGAGGGGGGAAGACCTTGGACTTCCCAAGGGGCGTGGAAACCTGACTGCTCTTAGGACTAGAGAGGGAGGGGGAGGAGGGGAGTGGGAGGGAAAAGGGAGATGGTGAAAATTTTTAATAAATAAATAAATAATTTTTTAAAAAAGATAATGAATATTTCTAATTGGTATGGTATATTTCCTCACCATCAGAAGATAATTTTGGTAACTATTGACGTACTGATGATTGTCTATTTAAAATGGAGAGCAAATGTGTTGCTGTTGTCCATGCTTACCATAACTAAGCCAATGAGCAGACAACTAGAAAACACCTACTAGGAGACATGTATCTGTCTTAACCTAGATTTCAAGGCTGAGGACCTCAAGGTCATTTCCGAATCCATCAGAGAAGACAGACGCTAGATAGTTTGTTCCATCAACAGGGAGTAGGCAGCATTAAAACATTAGAACTTGGCCCCCACATTATTTTTTTTACACAAAATTGTTTGGATATTGCTCATAGAGGAGAAGGCGATCAAAATAGACTTTTTGATAATGTAGTTCTGATTTTAAACAGTACCTGTGGGATGGGAGACAGAGCTCAATAGTAGAGCACTTTCATGGCATGAATGAGGCCCTAAATTATTTTCCCATTGCTACAGAAAACAAAGAAACAAAGAGCTCTCAACAACTGAAAAAAGAAACAACAACAATAAGCAAAAAATTACCAAGAGTACAATTCCACAAATAAAAGTCGCGTCTATGCATGAAGGAGTACATTAAAAAATAATTTTTGAGTATAAAAAGTGATAAATTTCTGGTGTAGGATATTCACTTATATTTTGACATATTTCATCTAAGTTTTATTTCTGCACGTTTTATTTATATAGTTGAGTCCTATTATGTATGACTTTATCTTTTTTCTCTACTTTCTAGTTTCTCTCCCTGCCCCACAATAGAAATGCTTCTTCTGGTAGATTACAAGAAACTTTGTACCTATCTCTGTAATTTTAACATCTTTCACTTTCTATTTTTATGGTGTGTGTGTGTGTTGTTTTCTTTACCTTCATGTCAACTTTTTTCTCAAGACATACATTTTATCTTCCCTAGGGCAGTATTGGTAGTAGTTCATTTAGTTTCTATTTCTATAGTTTTTTTTATTTTTCTAATTGTGTGTTATGTGATAATTTGCTTTATTACACCAAATTTCTGAGATTGTACTAATCTATATGAGATGGTGATTTGTAAGCCTAACCAACGGTCACACTGTTAAGCTGGCTCATGCTCATGCAATAAAGTCCTTGCTATACAAGGGACAGTACAGCAAATACTGGGAAAGAATTGTCTCATCTATTCTTCATCAAAGTTTGTCATTCACGCACACACACACACACACACACACACACACACATATGCACATATGTGTGTACATGCATATATACTCATATATCATATATATGTGGGTAACAATGCTTAACATATGTGCATTTTTTCATCTCATGAAAATAAGAACAGAAACTGGAGGTTTAGTGGTTTGGGCAATGACTTGGAGGATCTCTGATATCAGATCAGCCTTGTTCTCTGGATACAACATTGCTGCAGCTTCTCCTGTCATCGCACAGTCACATAATAGAAGTGGCTGACATGGCCTGGGCTGGCTGTGAGCAGTATGGACATTTCTCTTGCATCTTCCCTTCTCATCAAGAACCTTTCCTCCCCCCCAGAAAACATTCCTTCATAAAATTTTCCCAGAATTCATAGATCAGAACTGAGTTTATCCCTTGAGAACAAGGAGTATCTGAATAATGCACAAATGAAATGAAGGGAATGGTTGTAGAAGAGGATTGCTTTTGGTCCTTCCCAGCTGGGTAGTGGTACTAGGAAAGTAATGCTTACAAAAGGGGAGAAATAGGTCCAAGATTATACAACTTGAAAATGGAGAAAGGGGAACTTGAGCTAGATCTTTCTAATCTTTCAAAATCCCCATTTTTAAGCACCACACTATAGGGCCTCTCTAGAGTAGTTTAGTATTTTACTCACTTCACCAAAAAAAAAAAATGATTTAGCAAGAAGCCACTTTATGGTTCATATTGTTCTTGCTGCTGTGATAATCACAATTCCCCCTTAGGGACGGAATCCTAAGTCTGAGGAAGCAGCTGCATAGAACTGATTATTATACTGTAGACTCAATTCTAAATGGTGCATTTCTAACTCGGAGGAGCTCACGGAGCCTTACAGCAGTCCAAATGGGCTTCATGAAGTGACAGGGTAGAAAAGCCACAGACCTGGGCCAGCAGGGAGTAGGGTGATGTCTTTCTCAGGGGGGTAACTTGAATGGAATGAGGAAGGTGAGGGTGAGGCAAAGTGTGGGCAAAGTCTAGGCACACTGATCCATGCAGAGAACAACCACTGACTTGTGGATTGAGGACGGCTGAGAAGAGGCTTAACTGGAGGGTGCCGTCCTGGAGGGTGCCCTAGGGGACCAAGACTAAAAGGGGAAGGAACCCATCAAGCAGTAACATCAACTGCTGAGTTGATGTTGAGTGTTTGCAGGGAGAAAGAACAGAACACAGGGGGTGATACATGCCAACCCAAAGTGTTCCTTTGATTTAATGGAGTAATTTAAGGAGTTTAAAGTTCACCTGTGATGGAAGGCATGTAGTTTTTTTTTTTTGTTCCCGGAGGTCTTCTGTCATTTAAAAAGTGATGCTGTTCTTGACTTCCAGACAGATACAGAAGAAACTGCCAACTGTACTCCTCCAACAATCAGGATTTAAGATACTCTGCTCTTCTGCAACGAGAGACTGGTAAGGTCAGGGTGAAGTCTCACGACATGGACACAAGTGTACAGAGGAACTCATGCTGACTCCATCGCTGGTCTCAGTCTCCCTGACATGTGAGATCTTCATTTCAAAGCTACAAAAGTCATGGAGTCCTCGAAGCTTGCTGAGGAGAAGCCGGTCACATTTCTGTGTCCTGTGTCTGCTCTCTTTTACAGAAACGTGCAGTGAAGATCTGAGAAACAATCTGGAAGATGTGTTTCCAGCTTTTTCTGATAAATTCTAACAATATGAACATTTTTAGGTTCATGATTACAATTAGTTATGTGTAAATTTTACCTTTTTTGTCTCCAACATTTTTGGTTATTATTTTCAGTTAGCACGTGTGGATTTCTGTCAATTATAAGTCAGCATAGGCAGTAGGTTGTTATGGTTTATAGTAGCATAAGATTCATGGTGTAACCGAGGCCATAGAAAAGGCTCTTCGGGTGTGTCCTGAGACAGTAGGTTAGAGTTGAGCACAGAATTAGTTACGTCATTATTTCTGAAAAAATCAGAGTTTAAAAGAGAGAATTATTGAATGATAAAAACAGTGTTTCTTTTATTCTGTGTTGAGGGTCCTTTGAGTCTTCCTCAACCCAAAGGGAAGAAATGATCACATCTTTTACTGTGAAGACCCCCACAGATGGTTTCTGTCTAAAAGTGGATTGAGTATCATAGAATTTAATTACTATCATTGAGTACCTGAGAGAAACAATAAAGACCCAAGAGTGAATGATGCAGATTGCTGATAATAGGTTAAAATTGGAAATTGCTAAATTCTTGAATTTCTAAATGATGTCACACTTCGCAAGTTCTTTCTTAAACTGAACACTACAAACAGGCATTCCTTTCCTAATGATGTCTTTATGAGTAAAATGTTGAATCATACAATGAACACAAATTAAAAAGTTTAAAAAAACCGTGGGAGGAGCATGGCCGTATAAAACCAGTCATTACCTCGTCCTCAGCATGCCAGCTTTCCAAGGAGCATCGCCTGCCTGCCAGCTGCTCACAGGATTAGAAGGTAATAAGTGCTTCAGTAATTCCCTGGTCATCTCTAATGAATCCAGGCTTTCCCCTTTCTCTTCCTTCATAGTAACATTTTAATATATTCACCTGTGTAGAGGGTGAGTAAAAGATGTAACTATGTTTTCTTTTTCACTTATTTAACTAAAGATAATTTGGGTTAAGACTTGAATTAAACTCATGACTGCTTAACTTTGAATCTCAGAAGACAGCAAACGCCTATGAACCAAAACTAAAATGTATGTTTATTTTAATTTCAATTTTAATATTATTGAACAGGTTATAATATGTGTGTTTTATATTAACTATTGTTTTGATATAGAATTGACATAAAATAGCTACAAATATTAAAATGTTTATATTTAAGCAATTGAAATTAATTATTACATTAGATATAAATAAGCGACATTCAATTGTCATCTAAATTTAACAGTCAGAAACTATAAAAATTAAGCAGTGATTTGGGCCAAGATGATCCAGGATCAGAACATAATTATTTAACTTAGTTCAGTAATGGAACAATTCTGTGAAAGATAGATATCAAATAAATTAGTTGATTAGTTGACCAAGCTAGCAATTAAATCTCTAGTAAGCAGATAATTATTCATTATGAAAACTGTCACTTAAAGTACGACCCCCTGTCTCTGGGAAGCTTGTTCTATTTTTGATGGGCTGTTTCCTTGCCACTATTGTTTTATCTTAATTTTCACTGATCTTTGAAATCAATTAAAAGCATGTTCATTATTATGATTATACACAGAAATGTTTAAAATGGCACAGCAAAATCTAGTTTATCAGCTCAGGCTGTTGTGGAGAGGGAGTGTGGCAGGTGGTAAGCCTGTGGCACCTCCCAGATTCACCACTTCTGCCAAGTTTCACTAGTGCTTTTGCCGACTTGTATTTCAGGAACTGAGAGGAGAGGACAGAGCCCCGCCCAGCACATAATTTCCATTCATTCTTACTAATGTTAGTAATAGTCTCATATTTGGAAGCATATGACATTGTATGGTTTATTCTGCTGTTAGGAAGCTCATCACCTGTGTGCCTCTGTTTGAAGAGGTAGTGGCACTAACATCATGCCATGACCTCAATTTCATATTGTTTGGGGAATGTCCCATTCAAACACAGGAGGTGCGCTTGTCTGAGAGTCATGATATACATGTGGATACATATACTAGTCTGAAGCTTTTGAATATTACTTGAGAAATATGTAGAAAAAAACACAGACTCTGAACTGAATAAGTCATGAAATACCCATGTCTTCACATTTTCATTACTATAGCAGAAATTCCAAAGGAGAAAGGGTATGTGATCATTTCCATTAAACAAAATGCAGCAGATTTAATTGGGTGACTGAAACAAAGACATAAACTAATATTTTTATGCAAATGTAGTTAACAAGACATCATTAGAAACTAGAATTCCAGGACAAGGGATGTTGCTCAGATGGTGGATTGCTGTCCTAGCAAGCACGAAGCCCTGGGTTCAATTCCTGGCATTTTATAAATTAGGCTTGGTTGTACACACATGTAATCTAAACACGTGGATGCAGATAAAGGAGGACTAGAAATTCGTAGTATCCTTGACTACCTGTTGAGTTCATGGCTGGCCTCTCTAATACAAAATAATTCAGGTTGTTTAGTTCAATTTTTTTCTTTTTTGGTAGAACTGGTGTTCTGAACACAGGTCACTGCACACCTGATGCTGAATTGTGTCCTCAGACAGAGATAAGTTTTAAAGAAGTAAACATATCTGGGACAATTTTACTCTGCTTAGTACCATCATGTTCTCTGTCAAATCACCCAGAGTCCTACTTTAGTATTAACTGTCTTGGCTGATAACGGCCTTGACCCTTGCTAAGCTGGGGCACAGGCTGAGAAGCAGGAGAGATCATGATATGCACTCCTGGCCCGATCACTTATTTGAATTTTTATGCAGGGGCAGAGAAACATTTCATTCATAATTTTAAAATTATTTATTAAGGAAACCTATGCATGGAGTCTAATTACTTGTAATATTAAGTCACCACAGAAGAAGTTATTTTCTGAACTCTCTATTTTAATCAGGAATCTGTGATGAAATGAGATGAAGAGCAATACTGTTTTCTTTTCAACTAATAAGTTTTCTAGGAGCAATATGGACTTGCTACTTCCCTTTCTTGTTCCCCTTTGTCATATTCTCGGTATAGAACCTCTTTAACTGACAGTTATAATGAAGCGGTGCCATCCACCTGTGAGATCTGAAGATCTGGGAACGTTCTTTGGCCAATCCCAGCCTGCATGCTGTAACATCACAGTAAGCTGTGGGACCACACAGAAGTTGTTTAACCTCCAAGAGCTTTAGAAAGGCCTCTGTGGAACAGTCAGTCACATCCACCTCCAAGGGTCAGTGAAAGGCTTAACCTGGAACGCATTGAGAGGTGGAAGGAGAAAACTGCCCCCATAAAGTTGTCTCTGACCTGCACAGGCCCCCATGACATGTGCACCCGTGCTCACACTCATGTGCCCACTGCCCCAGCACTAGTAAGTTAAATAAAGAGGCAAGGAATGAGAAAGAATTCTAAAAATACAATTTAATTTACTATTTTGTCTTTACAAAATGCAATTGCCTTATGTTACAAATGACAAATTTTGGTGCAAATTCTTCTCTCTTCTACAATACATCTGTAGACAATCAAGACAGTAGCCATAGGTTTGCTTCATCCAGGGGTCTCTCCACCACTCTCCAGTTCTGGAAAATATTTGTTCCAGAAGGTTTACAAAGAGATGAGTGCTGTCATTGTTTGGTGTATTTGTATATTTTGGTAATTATAGGTTATTTTAGATTATGATGAAAGAAAAATAGAGAAGTAGGAAGATGGTGGTTGGCATCCCTTCCCACACACCACCCTTGGGTGTGTCCAAGGATCCGGGTGCACAGAGATCCTGAAGTTGTCGAAGGCGTGCCTGACCTTCTTAAGATAACTATAAATTAGACATATTGTGTGGTTCCTATATTCTTTAATTGTCCCTGAATTCCTGTGGGCACCAAGATTTGTATGATAGGAGAAGAGGGTAATAAAGTGAACTCCCCAGTCCATAGGAAATCCTTTTAGACCAAGGCTGAGGCTTATGAGATGAGTATATGCTGGGGATGGTGGTATCTGGACACATATAGCAACCCTAAAATATGTTATACACCTCAAAATGGAGAAGTTGAAAGATTGTCTCACCTGAACCCAGCAAGACTGTGTACATGTGACACCCATTTGGATAAGTGTATCATATTCTGCATATGAACATAAGTGTATGTGGTGTGGGTATGTGTAGTGTGAATATGGACAGAACATGGAGGTCACTTTCCTGCCTTCAATTTCCCCTCCCACTCTCTGTTACTGAATGGCATGTCAGCTGGCTTTTGTGCAGTAGCGCGTTCTTTCTGTGCACAGAGGTAGCAGTCCTTTTCCTCACAGGATTTTAGGAGGATTAAATAATTACACAAGTAAGGTGCTTAGTAGTTTAGTGTCTACAGTCTGGGTGCCTAACGTGTAGAGAATAGAACTCAAATGAGTGTTACTGTTGTTACTATTCTTATTATAATCCGATTTCACAAAGTGTCATTCCTCATTATGAAGCTGTCATCATATCTCAGGATTGGCTACGTAGTTTACAGAGGCTGAGGAAAATTGAAATTGCAGGGTTTCTTGTTTAATATGACTCAAATTTCAGAATGGAGTCACGGAATGTTATACCTGTGCACTGTGAGGAGCACATGGTTTGTGACTCTAAGCAATTGTCACCGTCCCTCATTTTGCTCGTGGAGGGAAGACAGGAAGGGAACCGTAGGCAGGACACCGCCTACACTCCTCTGCCAACTTCACTCACAGTGCCGAGCAGTCATTCAGAGCTCTTTCTCTCTCTTCACCTTCGTTCTAGACTGAAACAATGGAAGAGCTTTCCATGGCCAACACTGTGTTTGCCCTCAATATCCTCAAGCACATAGAACAAACAAACTCAGCCCAGAATATCTTTTTCTCCCCATGGAGCATCTCATCCACCTTGGCGATGGTTTTCCTCGGCGCCAGGGGCAACACTGAACACCAGATGGCCAAAGTAAGTTGCTTTAAACGTTGCCTCAGAACCCAGTGTTTTCTGAATTGAACCGTAGGCTTGCTCTCGTTTTGTGCTCAGGTCATCTTGACTCTAAGACAGCAGGAATGGTGGCATGGCTGTCATTACAACACGGATTCTGTAAGTTTAAATCTAGAAAATGTCCAAATCAGAAACTCCTCTAATGCAGATGGCAGAAGCATGCTAGCATTTCTATAAGGAAGAAAATAGCAACTGGCAAAAATTCCATTTAAATCAGTTCACGTTCATAGTTTGCACAGCAAGGGTTTTGAGCGCTTCATTTCACATGGTTTTAAGTCAAATGTCATCCTGCAGACCTGTTCCCAAGAGCACCCGTGACCTTCTAGTTTCCAGCTGAAGCTCCCTCTTAACAATTCCACTGTGGGTAGTGCTTGTTTCCCCTTTCTTATAAAGAATGTCTCCTGATGGACAGGAGACATTTATATATATAATAATATATACATATATGTATATATATAAATATTTGTATATATATATATATATTTATACATATGTATATCTTTAGTGGACTTCTTCACATTATCCACTGTGAAGCTGTGTCTACAAATGGGGCTGGATATTGTAGAGAGCCAGTCCTCAAAGTCAATGAGAAAAGCATATAAAGCATCATTGCCAGAGATTTTTGTGTCAAGGTTTTTTTCCTTTCCTTGATGAATGGACAGAGGTTTATCCAGGAGACTTTTCTCCAGACTTCAGAACTATTTAAATTATATTCTGCAGTATACCTAAAGATTTATACAATGTATAACTTCTCATAATCATGTTACTTGCTAGGTCGGAGACCTGAATGTGAAAATCATATAATTAAAATTTCATTGTATCCACATGCATGCAAAATATTAAGAATGTGTGTTCTGAGCACAAGCACTCATTGTGTTTGCAGTCACACCAAAATGCCATGGGCTCCTACCCACGTTCCCATGAGAACTGTGTCTGAACATAAATACATTCTTCTTGAGAACATGGTGACCCACTTCAGGTGAGCCTCTTTTCAAGTACAGAGTTTCACAGAGACAACATGAGTCAACAGGTCATGAGGTAGATTCCTGTCTAAACTGGAGTCAGTTTAAACAGCATGTCTTACAACAACACTCAATTGTTCAACCCCGATGATAGCAGAATTGTGCCACACTTTTTCCTCCTTACTTCCTTTGCCTTGAGAAAGCATAGTAAACCACGGTTTGCAAAACCTTAGAAAGCGTTTGTGCTTTCAGCTTTTAAGTGTCAAGGCCAGGAGCAGTACAGCTAGAGAGGGAGTCTCAGATGAAGTGCTCTGAGTTAAAGTGAGTTTGACACTGAAGGAAAAATTCTTCTTGTGGTCACTCTAGGCAGAGAGATTTCCTAACTCAAGAAAGTTCTTTCAGTCTGGGGGACCATGCAGTTTTCTTACAACTCTGCTGCATGGAGAGATTTTAAAATTCAAGTGCTAATTTGATTGGTTTCTAACTAAAAAGACTATTTCCTTAGATTAGGGAAGAAGGGCAGGCTATGCAGCACCAGCTCCATGCTTCATGCCCCACTCCCAGATTAAACAAGGGAAGACTTGCAGAGAAAGGTCCCCAAATACCAATCCTTTTCTGGTCTAGAACGTTATCAACTAGCTAGATGTAACTGCCTACTTCATTACAAGATGCCAATTACCAGCCCATTTACAATTTTGTTTCCTCTTTACCATGGACCAAAAGGAGAAGTATTTCAGGGTCAGAGGTTCTCAAAGACTAGACATAGCTGACTGTGGGAATCTGAGTCTGGAAGACTAGGCTAGGCTGGTGGAATTTTGTGGAGAAGGGACTTGAGATAGCCTTACAGAGACCAGTCTTTTCCTACCACTTCTACTAGCTGTGTGAAATCACTTACAATGAGAGAGATGCAGTGTATCAAATGTCATGAATTGCCCTGACACAGGGAGATAGATGCAGTGTATCAAATGCTGTGAATTGCCTCCAACACAGGTATTAGTTTCTCTCTATGTGCACAGAGTATGTGTGAATATCTTATTCTGGGTGATCCTTCTTAATATTTGGTGACCGATGTTCATGTTAAAGCCCACTATGGCTCCTAACTTTCCTCAGCTTAAAATGTATTTAGTAGGAAAGTCCACTTCAGAGAAGAGGAGATGAGTTAATTATATTACTTTTTTTGAAAATATTTTAAAAAATACAGAATTAAAATATTTGTGTTTTTCAACATAATTTATATACTGGATGAAATTTAGATAATTCAGGGTAGATTTTATAAAGTATCTCAAAATAACATTGTTTTTTAACATTTTCAGTAAAAAGGAGTTAGTATCAAGTCCTTCATGGATTTTTGAGACACAGAAAGAATGCCTACGCTTATTGTCAGACAGTACCATCTAGAGCAGTGCTTCTTAACCTTCCTAAGGCTTTGACCCTTTAGTACATGCTGTAGTGACTCCCAACCATAAATTATTTTCTTTGCTTCTTCATAACTGTAATTTTGCTAGTTATGAATGATAATGTAAATATCTATGTTTTCTGATAGTCTTAGGTGACCCTTGAGAAAGGTTTGTTCTCCCCCCAAATTGTTTCACCGCACAGAAATGCTGATCTAGAGATTCCTGAGCCATTGGTTTGAAGTGAATAATTTTGCATGGCCACATCATCACTTCTCCTGATTCTGACTGCAGGTGCTGCAATTTAACAAAGTTACTGGCTATGACATCACTATGAGAACCCCAGAGAACGTCAGAGGCCTTGATTGCACACAGCAAATACAGAAGGAAAATTATCCTGATGCTATTTTACAGGTACCAGACTTGGTTTTGCTATATTTCTTTTATATTCTGTCTCTAGCAACTTCTTGTTTCAGAGTCAGTGTTGAATTGAGAAGAAATGTAGAAGAAATGTGGCAGTTCTACCGTCCATAGGAAGAGCACCCAGACTGAGTACTGTGATGAACATCCCAAGGGCATCTGATAGCAAGGGTCAGAGGCAGGGCAGCATCCAGGCTTATTAATGTTCCAACAATGGTTGTTCCTCAATCCTATCACATTATTCTGCCATAAGTGTATATATATATATATATATATATATATATATATATATATATATATAGCACTGTTTATGTATCATATTATTTATATTTATAATAAACTATTTATTCTTAAAGTGTTCTTTGGTATGTTACAAGAATGTTTGGATGCATAAGTCCATAGATATTTATGGGAATTTCATGAGGAAAAGAGGGTGATCATAATTAGGGGTTGGTGAAGCATAAACCCAGTTGCTGCAGGAGAATCAAATGAATATATTATCTGCTTATAATATACCACCTATCTATAAATAACTTGTCATCTGTCTAGCTATTTATCACTTATTATCTACCTATTATGCGTATGCATCTATCTACTCTATACCCATTATCTATCTTTCATCAACCTACTAATTATCACCTATCTACTTGTCTATATCTACCTGTCAACTCTGTCATTTGTCTGTCTGTTATCTATCTCCCATCTAGTACCAGCTTATCATTTGTCCATCCATTTATCTATATCTATTGCAGGTAATAAAGCTATTCATCCATCTATTATCTTTTATACAAAGTAATACCTTTATCCCATAGGCTATATTCTTAAAAACTGGCTGTCTAGTTACGTTAGAAAAACTGTGAAGGGATAATCTATTGGTAACTAACTTACATGGCTACGCCCATGATTAAATTATGGGGGCATGTCTCCTGATTCTTCTTTCCTGAATATGCTAGTGGTCCACCCACCCATCACTTGATGTGATGTGGGGTGCAGAAGGTAGATAAAGCCTCCCGATACTTTCTAAAACTTGGAGAGCTCTGTCTTGTACTGGAGCCCAGGTGCTGTTGTGACTGAGTCTGTCTGTCACACTACTTAGCATTTGATCTCTCAGCAATTTTGTGAACTTTTAAAGCTCTGGTTTTCTACTACAAAAGTTACCTTGTAAAATGGAGCCTATTAAGGTTCTATAAAGTGTGGTAACATTTCACTATAGTTTCATTGAGAACTTCACAACTGACAAGTAAAATTGAACATATGCGGGGTACATCAGGTAATTTATCTATACCTTGTGAAATAACTACCACAATCAAAGTAATACATTGACCACATATGCAGTCATTGTGTGTGTGTGTGTGTGTGCGTGCATGTATATGGGGGTGTTGAGAATCAATTTAAATATATCTTCATCACAAATTTCAGAAATAGTCCGGTCTCACTAACTGTATTCATTCTGTAATATAATAAAATTTCATCAGAAACACAAGAGTTTAGAAATATCAAAAGAAACTGTCTTTCATCCAGGCTGTGGGGTTTCTTATTTCTAACAAATCTAATCTACAGATACAGCAGAAGTCTATAATTATTAAAGTGTACCTTTATACCCTTCCTATACTACATTTCTATGTTTGTTTCTGCTTTTCCCATCATGGGGTACTGAAACAAGCTTGCCTCGAATTCATTATGTTGCCATGATGAGCCTTGAACTTAGTCTTTGTTTCTCTGCCTCTCTTGGGATCATAGATGGGAGACAGTACTCCAATCTTTTTGGATGACATTCTTACAGATCTTTTTTCTCTAATGGACTAGAAAAGGATGCATGCATACAATATTTTATTGTTGTTTTGAGAAAATGTCATTGCTTCAGGAGTCTTTAGTTAGTATTACTGTGTTATAAATGAAAATTTCTTCTGTTTAGGCACAAGCAAGAGATAAAATCCATTCATCCTTCAACTTGGTCAGCTCGGCAATCAACACTTGCTCAGGAGATTACTTACTGGAAAGTGCCAATAAGCTGTTTGGAGAGAAATCTGCTAGATTCAAGGAAGTAAGTGAAGTTGACACTATAAAAGTTGTTCCAACACAAGCAGTTTGGAAACACTCTTCCACAATTCTCAGGAGCAGACTCAGAATTGCAGGTGGGCTTTTAAAGGCTGGCATTATTGTCTCTACTGTTCCTGCTGAAGATGTCCCATGCAAAGATCAGCAAATTACAACAGTGATGTAACTGCTTTTCCCAGTGATGTAACTGCTGTTCTCCTCTATTTCCCCAAGCTATACCTCTGTTCCTATTCAGTGATTTCTCTTAAATTTTAATTAATTATTTTTTTTAAACCATCTTTTCTCACTTTCCATACCTATCCCAGTTCCCACTCCCCCCCTTCCTCCCACTCTCCCCTTCCACACATTCCACAGCATTCCACAGAGAGGGTAGTGCTTCCCACGGGGAGTCAATAAAGTCAGTCAAATCAATTTGAGGCAGGACTAAAGCCCTCTGTCCTAAATTTAGGCTGAGCAAGGTATCTCTCCAAAAAGAATGGACTCCAGAAAGCCAGTTCAAACACTAGGGATAAATCCTGGTGCCACCGCCAGTGGTTCCACAAACTGCTCAACCACCTAACCATCACCCATACTCAGAAGGTCTAATGTCTTTAGTGCAAAGGGTAGATAGAGTTGGTGCTGGAGCACAGGACTGGGCATTATTAGTGAAAGTGAAACTGTTCCCTGGATCTGCACCCTCCCCAGTCATCTCACCTCCCACTGCCTTATGTCTCCTTGCATTTGTTGGAGCCTGTAATTCATCATGCTTCTCCTATTCAGCATATGCCATGTGTAATTATGGGTTATTTTTGTTTTAAAGGAATACATACAACTCTGTAAGAAATATTACTCTACAGAACCAGAGGCAGTAGACTTCCTTAAATATGCTGAAGAAGCTAGAAAAAAGATAAATTCCTGGGTCAAGACCCAAACCAAAGGTAAAACTTTGGAATTTTTTTCTTCTGTTTTTTGTTTGTTTGTTTTGAAATCCTTGAATTTCACCCTCATTCTTCAAAATTGTACAGTCAACTCTCCTTCACCTCCTTCTGAGTTGAGTAAGTCTTAGACTACTGAAAACTGGAAACCAATATACAAGAAAGTGACTCCTCCAAATATTATAAAAGTTATACTTTATACATAGCATTATAAGTTTCTTTTATATTTTTATCATAAAACCTAAACATGTATTGTGTTCTCTACAGGTGAAATCTCAAACCTGTTACCTGAAGGTTCTATAGATGAAGACACCAAGATGGTACTGGTGAATGCTGTCTACTTCAAAGGAAAGTGGAAAACTCCATTTGCGAAGAAACTTAATGAGCTTTATCCTTTCCGTGTGAACCTGGTATGAAACAAGAGGCATTTTTCTAGCATTATTTTAGAACTTGGAAAAAAAATACAGAAAACTTAGAGACTATTCATTGATTTTCCCATAACTTGTTAGTTACAGCTTGGGTGAGCATTGGTTCTTTTGAGCTACTGAGTATTATTTAATAATTCCTAAGAGTCAATGGACAGAAGTGAAGACCATGGCTTTATAATTTATAATTATGTGGCATAATTCCTCTTGCCTGGACTTAAATGTTGGTTCCACATTTGCACTATGACTTCATGTATTATCCATTTGTTCCGTTTTTGATCATTAAAGCTAGAATAATAATTAGTTTAAAAGATTGATGTAAATATTTGACAGAGTTTATCTAACTTCCTGGATCAATTTAGGCATTACAAATTTATTACATTTTTATTAGTAGTAGCAGTATTATTACTACTAATATCTATCTTACTGAGTATTTGCTATAAGATTTAAAAAAGCCATTAAGTTTGAGGACCTTCTCTAAAAACTTTACAAATAATTTGCTTTTTTGATGAAAGAAAACACATCCCCTTAGCTTTGGCCCAGAAATCATTTATTCTTGCTGCAAATTTCTTAAACATCTGAGTACTGACTTTTATATTTTACATTTTAACAATATTAGCGTGAGAGCATACCTGTTCAGATGATGTACCTACGTGAAAAGCTGAACATTGGATACATAATGGACCTAAAGACTCAGATTCTAGAGCTTCCATATGTTGGAGACATCAGTATGTTCCTGTTACTTCCTGATGAGATTGAGGATACGTCCACTGGCTTGGAGTTGGTAATGCATTACAATTTCAATTATTTTCTAATTTTGCAGCAATATCTGCTTTGCTCAAAATGAGTATCAATGTCTTGGAAATGGTGTGTAATTTGTCACAAATGAATGTTTCAGTTGATATACCTGTGTCAAAATCTCAAATTTTCGCAAAATCTCAAAGTCTGAAACTTATGCAGTATATGCTACCAACTTGAAAATTTGTCCAGTTCATTAAGTTTTAAACATAGTACAGTCATTTAATTGTTTATTTTATTTTTTTTTAGTTTTTAAGATTATAATTATTCCCTTCTTTCCTCCTTTCAAAGCTCCTTTATACCCTTTCTTTTTGTCTTTCAAACTTTATGGCCTGCTTTTCATTGCTTATTGTGACATGCTTATATACATACACATGTAAATATGCAATCTTAAACACAGACTTCTCAGTCTGTATAACGTTATCTGTATGTATGTTTTCAGGACTGACTATTTGATATTAGACGATCATTTGCTTTGGTCTTCCCTCAAGAAGATCACGCCTGTCACTCTCACAATTCTTCAATTGCCTGTAGTTCTTTGTGTGGGGTTGCGGCCTTGTTTCCTTTTGTATTCTTTAATGCCTTATTAATAGGTTGAGAATTTCATACACTTATGTAATGTGCCTTGATACGATTCAGTCCTTGCTCTCTCCCATACTACTCCTTTAAATCCTCTCACCACTTTTCCAACCAACTTCACATTCTTTTTTTAAACCTCACTGAGGTCATTATGTGCTGGCAGAATGTGTGCAGATGTAAGACTATTCACTGGAACAAGGACAACTTATTAGGAACCTTACCCATGAAGAAAATGACCTCTCCCCTCCACAGTAGCCATCAGTGTTTTTTGGACATGACAGAGCCATTGCATACATGAATTCAACAAAAGATCAAGCCATCCAAAATAAGAGTTTATATAGTAGAGGGGCTCATGCAGTCCCACCTCTAACTTAGGGGTAATTGGCAACTAATATGAATACATATATTGGTTAAGGTCTTAGTATGCAGCCCCAGCTTGCCTGGAATTTACTTAAGTAGTCCAGGATGGCCTTGAATTCGTAGAGATCCACCTACTTCTGCCTCCTGGGTGCAATAATTAAACCCATGCACCACTGCACTTAGCTTTGCAATTATTTTTTAAGTGTTATTATTTTTATATTTATGGCTGTATTGACTGCATGAATTTTGTATATCACATGTATGCAATGTTCATGGGAGCCAGAAGAAGACATTGGATCCCCTGGAACTGGATCTACTTGCGGTTGTGAGCTGCCATTTGGTTTTTAGACTCAATCCTGTGTCCCCCTGGAAGAGTAACAAATGCTTATAACCACTGAGTCATCTATTCAGCCACTTGGCAATTGATGCTTAACATTAGGCTTTGAGTTATTCTTTTTGTCCTTCCTTAAATTTACTTTTTTGTTTGTTCTTTCTTCTTACAGCTGGAAAGTGAAATAAACTTTGATAAATTCAACCAATGGATGAGCAAAGATGCAATGGCAGAAGACGATGTTGAGGTCTTTCTTCCCCAGTTCAAGCTAGAACAACATTATGAACTCAAGCCTATTCTGAGGAGCATGGGCATGGAGGATGCCTTCAGTAAGAGCAAGGCCAACTTCTCAGCAATGTCCCAGATGAACGACCTTTTTCTGTCTGAGGTGTTCCATCAAGCCACAGTGGATGTCAATGAGGAAGGCACTGTAGCAGCTGGTGGCACTGGTGCGGTTATGACAGGGAGAACTGGTCACGGAGGCCCACAGTTCGTGACAGATCATCCCTTTCTTTTCTTTATCATTAACAAAACTACCAATGCGATACTGTTTTGTGGTAGATTCTCCTCACCCTAAAATAGGGAAAACCTTATTTATACATTTTATTTTTATAGCCTTAGCTATAAGCCACAGGATTGCTTCTGCAAGTGCCAACTGAAGACTTTTCTACATACACATTTTTGTACTTCTGATTGATATACACTAAATATAAACTCAGAAACAATTGCACAGCTCTCAACAATACTTATAGAAAATCTACTAATTATTGTTTTCTAAAGCCATATGATATCCATTTAGTTCATCTTCATTCTTTCTTTGTCTTTATAGCTTTGGTTTTTTACAGTATTATTTATTATTTGTATAATGGTAGCTTTACAAATGATTGTCCTCTGTATAATAAAATTGTAACACTCAAGAAGCAGGTAATCAGAGAATTTTTGTATCTAAAAAAGACAAGCATTTGATCTAATAATGAAAGAACAATATGAATCCTTATGTGCTCTCCCGTAATAATCACCCAAACAAAAACACAATAAAAGGCAATAGCATGCTACATTTCTGTCACTGTATTACATATGTATGTATCTGTAACTCACTTGTAACTGGAAATCCGCAGTAACTGAAGTAAGGCAGCTCACTTACTCACAAGTGTTTGCTGCTCTCGGTTAGGTCCGCACCGCACAGCTGTCAGTCCTCGTTTGTCTTCGCTCCGTCACTGTAAGAAAATACCACAGATAATAAAGTTGAAAGATTTTTTTCTGTCTTATTGTTTTAGAAGATTTACTCCGAGGTTGGTAGGATGGTTGCTTTTGTGCCTGTGGTCAAACAGTAGAATGTGGTAGAAGGTGTGTAGGAATAGTGCTGTTTATTTCAAGAATGTCAGAGAGGAGAAGAAGAGACTAGCGCCCCTCGTCCCTTTGCAGAGCATGTGACCACAGATTTGGACTTTTCATCAGACTCCTTATTTTGTATCTTTGGTGCCTGTCATGGAACTACCTTTTGTAGAACAGGCTGGCCTTGAACTCACAGAGGTATGCCTGCCTCTACTTCCCAAGTGCTGGGATTAAAGGTGTGCACCACCACAACCCGACAGGCTCTCTACCTCTTAAATGTTTCCACTACCTTCTAGTAGCTTCAGTCAGGGGACCAAACCTCAGAAACATGGAACTTTCAAAGACAGTCCACATCCAAGTTACAGCACTTGGATTCCCAAGAGCTAACACAACCTATCACTTGTGGCAACATAGAACAACAGACAAGAAAAGGAGCAGAGAGCATAACTACTTCTCTTGCATAATGAGCCAGCACTGAGTCTGAGTGCGATGGTGGACAGCTGGACTTTTCTCTGCTAGCTTGACATAAGGTAGAGTTACCTGGGAAGAAGAACCTGATTTGAGAAATGCTTCCATTAGATTGCCTATAGGAAAGTCTTAAGGGCATTCCCTTGATTAGTGATTGTTGTGCAAGGACTTAAACCATCATGGATGATTCCACCCCTTAACAGGTGGGCCTGGCTTCTCTAAGACTGCAGATCAAGCAAACAAGGAGGCAGCCCTCCTCCATGACTTTAGGTTCCTGACCTGCAGGAGTTTCAGTCCTGGACTATGATATCCACTTAAAGTAAACCCTTTCTTCTCCAAGTTGCTTTTGTTCATGGTGTTTTATCACAGCAATAGATAGCAATCCCTGTTCTATTGCTGTGAAGATATACCATGACCAAGGAAACTTTTATAAACAAAAACTTTTAATTGGGGCTGAATTACAGTTTCCTCATGAGGGAGCGTGGCGGCATGAAGGCAAACATGATGCTTGGGTGGTAGCTGAGATCTTTATGTCCTGATCTACATACAGAGAGGGAGAGAGTCACAGGGCCTCAAAGCCCACCCTCAGTCCCATACCTTCTCCAACAATGTCACACCTTCTAATCCTCCCCTGACAGCTGAAGCACAATTAATAAAAAATCAGAGACAAAAATTGGAGTTCAAACTGGTCAGAAAAGCAAAACAGCCAACCACTGGCTCTTACCATTACCTCAGTCTGAAATGGTGATCCTGCCCCCATTAATCTCAGAATGGAACTGTGCCTGACAGCTGTTTCCTCCCTTTTCATAATCCTTTCTAGTTCTGTGATTAACAGCGTGCACTACTGGGATTAAAGGCATGTACCCCTCGGTTTCTATGGCAACTAGTATGGCTACTGGGATTAAAAGTGTGTGTTACCACTTCCTGGTCTTTAAGGATGGCTAGTGGGGCAGTTTTATCCTCTGATCTTCAGGCAGTCTTTATTTATTAAAAGACAAATAAAATGTCACTACAGACAGCTCATCAACTGGAGACTAGGCTTGCAAATATATTAGCCTATGGACAAGTCTCATTCAAACCATTACAGATTGATTGTAGAAAAATGGATCAGAACCCCATTCTCATAGCAATAAAGACATAGCAATTCAGAACAGTTTGTGACAGAGTCCTCTGAGGTGTCCTTTGAAGGAATCAAAACTTTTTTGAAGATACTTAATGTAATGTTGGTGATCATTTATTCTTTCTGTGTCTTTCATTTATTTGTGGCACAAGTGATTGAGCGTGTCACCTCACACATGGTACTAAAATGCTCTACCTTCTGAAACAGGGACTTATTAAGTTACCCCAGCTGGCCTTGAACTTGTTAGTAATTCTTCTGCTTCGATTCCTGAAGAACTAGCATACGCCTGTGCTGCCAGATTCCACTACTAATTTTCATTTTTTTATTAGGAAACAAAATAACATAAAGCATGATTTTATTGATAGAGACAGTACATTTTTAGATAGGGATTTTAATTAAGTAGGAAATAAATATAGAGACTTAGGGATGAAAATGAAAACAGCTTTGCCTTGCGACTGTTACAAAGATGAAACAATTTAGTTCATCCAGCAGAATCTAGATATAAATATGTTTACTGTAAACAGCATAAACAACTAGAACAAGTCTTTGAGCTAAGCCATGATGTAGCCCAAGCCACCCTGCTGAAATACTGTCAGTCAAAGCCAGTGGTCCATCTTTGTGGAGCCTCTACATGATGCCCAGTAGACAGCATTTAATTTCCTACCACAAATGTTATTTACTTGTGCAATCCTGAGCAACTCTCCACAGTGGGTTCTCTCCTGGTCTTCAGTTCACTGGAAGAGACATATACATGTAAAAAAGTGGAAACGGCACCCAGTGCATGCAAGGCCCCTCAGTTCCTCTGGGCTATTTTTGGTGTTCTCATACTTCCTTTCACTCTTATCATCATTTTCCATGCTCCTGAAAATGACACTGGTGTCCTATTGCCTTTTCCTGTGCTATAGAAAAGAGGGACCATATGAAGTCTACTGGGGGACAAAAAAAGCAGAAAATTATGGACAGTGCCCCACATAACAATGGTATCCAAAACATTAACTGACCCAAGTTTCACTCTGGGTTCTGTTCTAGCATTCCAAGCAAGAACAGAATGAGGCCTGTGTGATTCTCACAGAACACTAAGAGAAACCTTTGTAGACCAGCACCAAAAGATGCAGTAATAATGTCTTCTGTTTCAGGTCCATTTTTATTGCACTTGAAACTGTTCATTTTTTAAAAAAAGAGGCAAACCAGTGGAGACCATGCTGGCTTCTGTCAGTTAGCAACCCATAGAAGGGATTTAGCTTGGAAAGTATGAGTTACGGTTTGTCAGAATTCATGTCTCTACATGCAGTCCCATGTGGAAAATGTACTTCATTAATAATTCAGGAAAGAACTCTGTTGTCTGCCGCTTGTACTTATTTGAACTTTTGGCCAAGATAAGCATGAAAGGAAGAGTGTGCTGGCTTGTGAAAGGGAACCAAGGGTGGGGCTCAGAAGAAGGAGGGGCGGTGTGTTTTTTTTTATTTTTTACATTTCTTCAGTTAAACGTTACCTCACTCTTCAGCCACAGTCTCTCACTAAAGGAACAGTTTGCCAAGTCTGCTCCCAGAAAGAGAAATAAGGTATGGTAAATGTTTCTTTGGTTAAAAATGTTTGTGTTTTCCTTATTACGGTGCCTAGCAAATTGCCAAGACCTCTACTTGAAACTAAGAATAATAGATGAGGCTCCATTTCCTCAGTGCTTTTCGGTACAAGTCAGCTACTTAATCTTCAACCTGTTTGAAGTCTGATTGACTAGGAGGAAGATGAACTAATTTCAAGGAAACTTCAGCTGTTCCACTTTAAATTTTGAGAGACACAAGTGGATTTCTTTCCTCTAGTCATGTCTGAACTTTTCATGTACTGAGTTGCATTTGCCAACATAACAAGGGGAAATAGAACATTCTCAGAATAATTGAATCCCAATCTTTCTAGCCCTTCTGATGGGGTGTCTTCTCAGTATGGACTTTGGAGTATGGAACTAATGGTTGGCTCATGCCATCTACAGGAACCATTTTCCCACCTATCAGCAGTCCACGTGTCTTTAGCTTCTTTCACTACTGTGGACCATCTGAGTGCCTGAGCACACCTGACTCCTCAGACGCACTTGAACATAACAACTGCCAAAGGAAAGGGCTCTGGGAAATAAAGTGGTGCTGAGAGACAATTAAGATGCTGTTTTCTGTTATGCATAGTTTCGTAAAGATTAATGCATTATCACCAGTAAAGCAAGAGATCTTGAGTAATCTTTCATGGGACAAAGAACAAGCACATCCCGGTTGTCAGATCCTCTACTTCTCCCTCATCCCTCTTTTAAACTTCTTTTGCTCCTTGTTGGTCCTACATCACTCACTCTGGTTCTTGCCATTCAAAGCCTGCAGACCACTAGCTGCACTGACCACAAGTTCTGTATTTATAGCAAAGAGAACAGGACTTCACTTTTCACTGTTCCGTAGCTATGCATCATCAGTCAATACATGTAACTCCTCTGTTCCTGAGTGTCTTAGGAGATTTAAATGGGAACATGGGACTAGGGTAGTTCTAAGGTTCTGTCCAAGCTCTTGTGTTAGAAGTGTGTTTGTTTATAATGGTGTTGTTTTGATAGATATTATGATCATTCTTACTTTCTTAATGTTCTCTTCAGTGTGTATAGTGATTACATGTATATACATATACATATACATATACATATACATATACATCACAGCAACACAGTAATGAAAGAAGCTAAAGGCACATGGAATGCTGAAAGGTGGGGAAATCATTTATGCAGATGGCACCAGCCAACCATTAGTTCCATATATCAAAGTTCATACTGTGAAGCCACTCCACCAGTTTGTAACTTCTGAAAATTTCAAAAGAGCAATTCATTTTGTAAATAATACAGTAGGGGGATGGGCAGATAATTAATCAATACATTACTTGCCTCACAAACATGAGGACCTGAGGTTGATCCCCAGAACTTATGTAAAAAGCCAAGCACGGTAATTACCATTTGTAATCCCAGTGCTAGGAGCTTGCTGATGCAAATCTCAAGCTAGTAATTATCCTGTCTCAAAACAACATGGTGCAGGTTTCCTGAGAAACAACAGAAGATTGTCTTATAGTTTATGACTCTACATGTAAATGTACCCACAAGTGCATCTGTACACACACACACACACACACACACACACACGAGGAAGAGACAGACAAGCAAGAAAGCCAGACAAAGACACAGAGAGAAAGAGACTAAGTTTCTGATTGTTCAACACTTATATCTAAATTTTTTCCAATAAAATCTCTTCTTGGAATTCGGTATCTTTCAGGAATTATTTCTTGGGTTAGATGGCCAGTGTAGTGCTTCCTTATGGTTGTTTCT